CAATGGAGGAATATTTAATGAGACAAAATACTTCAGCCAAGGCCTAAATTATTTTCAATTATTACTTATAATGATTAATTAATTAACTAATCATAATCAATTATTTCTTTTACCAGACCTGGTAGAAGAGCTAGGTGCCTTGGGAGTCACCAGAAAAATGAAACAGTAAGTAGGAGAGAAAAGAAAAGATATATAGAGCCTATGGGAAACAAATGGGTTTTGTTATTTCCCCGTAATGAGATCATCTCACGGAGACCCAATCCTATGAGAGATTTTGGCCAGAAGGAAAGATTTCTATGGATCCTTGACCATGTGTCGTTTGTTACATTATATTTGATGCAGTGTACGCTCTTTAACTCATTCACCCCTGAAATTTCATAATGAACTATTCCAACCTTTGAATTGGAAGAGTTCAAATGCGTCTTCAGGGGTGAATGAGTTAATCAAGCTAGAATGAACACCATAGGAACTTTAAATATCAATTTGAACCCTGAATGGTTAATTTATGGGGACCCAAATCTGTCTCAAGATGTTAACATACTATTTGATAAGGTACAAAGGTACATGTTAGAGTCGGTTAGATTCTAGGTGCTAGCTGGGATCTTTTCATGCTCTCTTCATTACTGTTTCCTTTCTTCTATCATACCTACCTATGATTTGTATTGGTTCATCACCTAAAATGGTCAGTGTTATCACAAACTGTTGATTTAAGCAATTCATGTGCATTTATTGACAGTATATATGTTGAAGTACTTCTTTAATGTAATTACATTTCAAGGAAGTAGGCTTTATATAAGATTTAAAAGCTTGTTGCCAGATCCTATTCACCTGTGTACTTGTTATATATGACGAGTGAGATAAAACATTGTTTTTACGCACTGCACAATTTAAACACTGTTTTATCTGATACATTACTGTATATATAAGCATTCTACACATTCTCTGGAAACTATGATCAGCTATGGTACCTGTAGTGAATTGGTCCAAGATCGTTTGTAGAGACAAGTTTGTTAACTCATTCACCCCTGAAGACACATTTGAACTCTGCCAATTCAAACATTAGAACAGTTCATTATGAAATTTCAGGGGTGATTGAGTTAAGTGCATCTCCATGACCCTAAGTGTTAATGCACACACAAGTTGATTGTTGTGTTTTTGATCTAGGTGTGGGTACAGTGGCCCTTTGAGACCCGGCCGGAACTATTCCCCGCCTGTGTTGTAGCTATGTTCAGCCTGTACATCCTTATACAGGTGAGTCTGAGTAAGGTTGACATCCCCCTATTGTACTATCAACATCCCACTCTACTGAGATGTGATGTCAGCCACGGTCACTGGGAATATATTCACATCCTGTATTTACTGGATCGACACATAATGACCATAATGTTAAGAATCAATTAACCATAATAGGAGATTAACTGGCCAACATCACTTAAAGGTCCTTTTCTGCCAGTAGAAAACTTCTTATCATGACAAGCCTTGCCATTTTCGAAGATTCTAGTAATTGTGACTCAAAAGTCTCACCAGTTATATGTTTCAAAACTCCTGGATTAAGCTGATTACTTTCTTTAGAATCTCTTATCAGAGGAATGAATGCAAATAGGAAGTATTTCTAGTATTGTGATATTTGAATTATAAATACAAAAAAAAAAAAAAAAAAAAAAAAAAATTTTTTTTAAGGCAAGTTCAATTCTTTTTTTTTTTTTTTTTTTTTTTTTTTTAAAAAAAAAAAAAAAAAAAAAAAAAAAAAAAAAAAATTGAACTTGACTTTATAAATAATATTATTTTTTCTATATTTTTTTTTATTATTAAAAGCCCTTTATATATTAAGCATATCATCAGAATTTCCTTTATTTGAATTTGTGTTGAGAAGTTTCTATAAGCCTTTCTGCCTCAAATACTAACTAAATATTACCCAAGTTTGTCCATGATATTTGTACAGTTGCCATAGGCAAGCCACAAAATTCAGATGATGATGTATTGAATTGTGGACATATCTACATGGACATATATGAATGATCTAGTTTCAACCCTAAGTATGATTGGAAGTTTGATTTTGTTCAACTTATCAAATAGATGGCAAAATGTTAAGGCCCTTTTCCCTCCATAGATGTCATTAAATAGCCCAATAATCTGTGGGAAAGGTCATTTAACTGTATAAATTGTGTACTACATCATCGCCATTGGTCCCTTAGCTGTCACATGACTCCCTACAATGTGTCCCCAGGTCTGGTTCAGCCAATCCATGCACATGTGTTGTGTATCAACGCCATACAGCAATCGCCCATTTGTAATATCTACTGGTATTGAATCATCACTTAACATAGAAACACGGAAGGCTGCAGGAAGGGATAAACGGTTGGTCTACACAGAACACATGCAAGCCTCTCCTCCATGGGTATATACATTTAGTCAACATGTTTTACTGTATCTGAAATATTGCTCCTAAGCATTTTAGCAATGAATTAAAGAGCATATTTGCAATTGTCTTCAAGTTTGCATGCAAATAGCTTGCATAAATATTTTATGAAGAGCTACACATTCAGCATATTTTAAATCGCTATTCAACATTTTACTTTAAACAATTACAATTGCAAAGGGCAGCAAGGTACATCTGAAGCAGTTAATTATCACATTGTAAGCACATCTTTAACTTATTCACCCCTGAAGACACATTTGAACTCTTCCAATTCAAAGGTTGGAATAGTTCATTATGAAATTTCGGGGGGAATGGAGTCAAGATGTCGCAATGTCTATTAACCCTTTCACCACTGTAGACCATAATGGACTCATCCAGATCAAAGCATGGAAGAGTTTACTAAAGTTACATAGGGGTGAAAGGGTTAAACCTCCTTGAAATCAAACATCTATCTCCTGAATACCACTTTACAGAGGTCAAATAAACAGGGGTCAAATCAATGCTATTCATTAATTACCTTTGTTCTGTTCTAATGAATTTTCTATAATAGCAAAATTCTTTTGAAAAGGTTTGAGATGTCCCCTAGTTTAAGACGACCATACATTGCCAAAAGGAAGGATAGTAAAGACAGAATCAAAAAAATGTCTTTCCTTTCCTAAATCTTTGATGAACTTTGTAACGATAAGGTAGCACCTTGTTAAATAAATTTTCATTTTCGGTTCATTCGGATTTCAGATGCACAAGACCATGTACTTTTCCAGCATGTAATCCTCTCGCAAATCTTCGCTAGAGCAATATATCTCTGCTCAATGACTGCAGGCTTTACAGGGCCAGAAAATTAACTTACAATCAATCAGCTAAAAAAGCCTCCTGTGTTAGAATCCAGGCCAATAAAGTTTGACCTTTGACTCAGGGGGTCAGACAAAGGGGATTGGAGAAGTGGGAGTGAGGGTGCTCAGGGTCAGAGGTGAGAAAGGTCACACGATCTGATAATATAGCCCCATATGGGATGAGAACATATCATTCCCTCCTGTCTTAATAATTCAGGGTAACATAACTTGGCCTTTATCTCCAGTCAGCAGAGCTGAGTTAGGGCTGTAATACCTACCGTATTGATCAGAGGGCTATACACACAGGCCTCCATAGTCTAATGATATAGAGACTTCAAACACCATTCAAAATTTTATGACTCAAAAGTTTTGTCATTCCAGAATTTCAACAACATTCTTCACTACATATCCCCGTTATTAGATAAGTTCCGTTTTCTGCCATGTGATATGTATTTTCCTGAAGCTGCAGGTGTGTACCATTTCCTGTTTAGAGCAGCTAGCTCACAAGCATAATCTTTTTTACTACCCTAACTTTATTTTCACCGTACATATTGAACATTTTCACTAGTCCTAAGCTCAAATCTACTTGCCCCAGGCATCGGGCTAGTGGTATCAATTTTTTTTACTGAATCAAACTGATGTTCTTAAAAATTTGCATTGAAATATTGACCCCAATTGAAGCAATATTAGATATGAGAGTGCATCCATCAATGACAGCAGCTTAAGATACCCGGGCACTAATGACACCAGGAGACTGAAGCTTTCCGATTGTACACCCGGGCACTAATGATACCAGGAGACTGAAGCTTTCTGATTGTACGGTTGGTCTGGTCTCCTAATTAGTGACATTGACCTCGATAAATACACCTCTCTGTCAATCAAACTTCACCCAAAGGCCAAGTACAGATTATAAATTGTAAGTAATGCGTCAAGCCAAGTGAATTTGACCTAGACAGTAGACTTTTGTGGTAAAATCAACTGAATTTCAAAAGAAACTCCCTGAAACCAAAAGAAAATTCCTGAGTGCTTCTTATAATTAACTTTCAGATTTTGCTCATGTACTATCTTAATTTTTGCACAGTACAAATGGTGAGTGAGTTCCATCAGAATCCAGAAACACTTCACAAGTTATTGTGCAGCAATCTTCCACTAATCAGACTACAGTAGGCCAAACAATAGATTTTGTTCAGAGTTCTGCTCACAGACTGTTGCTCAAGTTATCCTGTGGAAACCAAAGAATTGATGGATGGACAGACAGATGCTCCCCATACCGTAAAATAGTTGCTCAAAATGTTTATTGGTTTGTGTTTTTACGTCCTATCAACAGAAATTGTCATTTGAGGACGTGCCAGGTCTTGGGGTTGGAGGAAAGCTGGAGAACCCGGAGAAAGACTACCGACCTGTGGCCAGTACAGTACATTGTATAGGTGCTTTCCACTCCTCTACAGTACCTGGCGAATGCCCAACGTACCATCATACCAACAACCCAGTGGTGGAAGGCTAGTATTAGCAGAATGTCATACGCCTTAACCACTCGGCCACCGCTGCCCCCGCTAAAAAAGTTTGATGAGTGCAAAAAAGTGGAAAGGCCATGATGCAAAAGGTCTAGCAGAAAGAATGTAGATAATCAAAAGGTTTTTAACTCATTCACCCCTGAAATTCTGTAATGAACTATTCCAACCTTTGAATTGGAAGAGTTCAAATGTGTCTTGAGGGGTGAATAAGTTAAGGACTCTAAGCACCAAGCTTACCTTGAGTCCAGTTCCAGCACAGGCGATCCCTAGGGCCATAGCAGCACCGAAGCGAACATGTGGATTGTAGCTCTCCGACAACAGCGACACCACACTGGGACATTGCTCAGGTGTTCTGTAAAGTACAAAAATAAATGGATTACTCAAAACTTAGAAAATATTCACAGTTAAACAAAGTGGTACCATTTATCATCAGATAGCAGGTGCTTGCTAGGAATCCTGGTGTCCCGAAAAATCTACGACCTTTGGCAAGTTCGGAAGAGTACAAAATTCATTTAGATAACAACCTTTAGTGTGTATATACTTGTTAGTTTGCTAAAACCATAGGGCCATTTTCTTTTCCTATAACATAAACACTGTAGACAGCGTTAATATTTTATTTGTGTGTTCTCTGTGAAATATTACCCACATCATGTCAATTATAAAATGATGAATGAGATTGGTGAGAGTCTGGCTAATTAATATTTTATAACTTTTGTGTCTGGAGTTTTTTCTTACGCTGGTAAGCATACATATACATACTAGTCAGAGGAAACAAGAGGCCCATTGGGATTTAGATTACACATGCTCTTTATAACAGAAATATCATTTTTATCATGAAAAAGCCTAGATGAAAAAATTATTTGAAAAGATATAAATGAATATTCTTGAGAAGAAGTTGCTAAACTAAAGGTTGACAATCAAGTAGCAATAATTGACAGACACTGTACCATCACAGACATTGCTGTTATTGAAAAAAAAGTCAGAGGCCATAGTCTGACGTAGTTCAAGTCAAGTTCTTTATTACTTAACTATTATAGCATCTAAAATTAACCTGAAAAATAGCAATCATTATTTACGGACTATTTGTACCAAGTTTCATTAATTCTGGAATTATAGTTCTTAAGAAGAAGTTGTTAAGAGAAAAAGGTTGGCAAGTCTCCAGAACTTATGTCAGATACTACACCATATTACATTATGATGTATATGGCCTTCCACAAAGGTAGTGTTACTTGTCCATAGGTATCAGCCAAACATCAGGCTATTAAGTAGTTATTGGCAATCACTTAGTTTGAAGGATTGTGGCTCTGTACCTTTATAATTTGTGGCACTATAAGCTGTGTAAATTGTGGGAGCATAATTGCAGTGGGTTGTGGCAATGTAAGTTCTGTGGAATGTGGCACTGAAATATTATTAGATTGTTGCACTATATCTCAGTAGTTTGTGGCACTATATCTCAGTAGTTTAGGGCACTATATTCCAGTAGTTTGTGGCACTATAATCTCAATAGACCGTGGCAATACAGGCTCAGTAAATTGTGGCGCTATAATCTCAATAGACTGTGGCAATATAGGCTCAGTAAATTGTGGTACTTATTACTCAATAGACTGTGGCAATACAGGCTCCGTAAATTATGGCTCTATAATCTCAATAGACTGTGGCAATATAGGCTCAGTAAATTGTGGCACTATAGTCTCAATAGACTGTGGCAATACAGGCTCCGTAAATTATGGCTCTATAATCTCAATAGACTGTGTCACTATATCTCAGTAGTTTGTGCCACTATATCTCAGTAGTTTAGTGCACGATATCTCAGTAGTTTGTGGCACTATATCTCAGTAGTTTGTGGCACTATATTCCAGTAGTTTGTGGCACTATAATCTCAATAGACTGTGGCACTATATCTCAGTAGTTTGTGGCACTATAATCTCAATAGACTGTGGCAATATAGGCTCAGTAAATTGTGGCACTATAATCTCAATAGACTGTGGCAATATAGGCTCAGTCAATTCAAAAGCTCAGTAGGATGTGGCAACCAAACCTCACTCAATTGTGGTAGTGTAGGTTTGGATGATCGCAGCACTTTAATCTCGGTAGAGATCGGCAGAAATAGAAGAAAAATATTCCAAAACTTCCCTAATGTATGAAAAGAGTTATTACATTCTGATAAGTTTTTGCCTCCACTTCTAATGAATGTGACCTCTAAGATTATGTTGATGACCTCTAAAAGTACAAGTATCAATCCAGAGTGGTAATATGCCCTCCTGGTGACAGGGCTAATGGGCAGATAACTCTTGTCAGTCCTTATCATATTGATGGGGCAGTAAAACATTTGTAGTGGAGGTGATGGTTCTACTGTGCGCACCCCAGTGTCCCATTCCTGAGGGCCACATCGTAACAGAAGTAGTTAGTCTATAACTAACTGCTTATCTCCCCTTATCTAGTGAGTTCCAGTCCTACTTACAAGCAAAATACTTCATCAACTTGGTGCACGGTATAAATATTGAAGTTTTTTTTTTCAGGCTCATTTTCAATAGGGAACATTCTATCTGAATTTTTTCACAAAATGAAGTAAGAGTGGAATTAATGTGTGGGTCTCTTTACCCCATTCACCCCTAAAGTCACATTTGAACCTTACTATGTCAAAGACTGTTTAAACTGGGGGTGTGTGGGGTGTGTGTGTGTGTGTGTGTTAATTACCGTATGCTTGAGGGTATCACAAGAAAAAGTGCAAATGAGATATGATAATGTTTAAAACCATTATTTCAATTGCAAAAATACACCATTTTTTCTATAGCATGTAACAATGCAACATATTTTTTTCTATAACGTGTAACAAAACTTTTTTCTCTTTTACCGTATTTTCCCTGCAATAAGCCCGGGTAGCCAACTCATAGTCTGTTACTAAAAGTAGGAGGCTGGACTTATTAAAGGACAATGACACAGCTTTTGTTGGTATTTTTACTTAACTCAACATTTGAGCTCTTCCAATTCAAAGGTTGGAATAGTTCACTATGAAATTTCAGGGGTGAATGAGTTAACTATAATATATATGGACATGCTTATTACCAGGCATGGGTTTATCCCCAGACAAATACGGTATGTGCATAACGTCACATCACTATAATAAAATTTGGCGGTGTTGAGATGATCCCGTTTTTTCAGGTTGAGTAAATTAACTGAAAAATACTCGCACGTAAATACTTATTTATAGATTTCACAGCTATTGCCAATGTGAAAAAAAATGTCCACACTGCAATCAGTTTTAAGGGTCACAATGCGAACGTTTACACATGCAAGCGACTTTTACAGTATATCTGCCATCTGTATGACGTCACTACAATTCTACTGCTGATGCTGTATGTCAAGTCAGATGACGTCGCACAAATTTCGGCCCTCTATAGGTGTGGACCATACTGCTAATATGTAAGTGTTTCTCCTAAACAGTAGAACGGAAAGACAAAACATGCAGTTCCCACTGTAGATTAAGGACGGAGTGGAAGAGAAACAAAGTCATGAAAAATGCAACAATGATACTTGAACTACCACTTCTAAAGATGATTTTGTATGGGTATAGACAAGTTCTACTGAATACCACAAATTAATGATAGATGAGACGAAGATTTTAGTGACGAGCCAGTTTTTTTTAGAATGTATGGAAATGCCGATCACCAGTCTTATAACAAGAAAATCAATCTCCTCCCACACAGCCTCAAATGTCACTAACCTAATCTCTACCTTAAAAAATGCCACTCAATAACTAGAGCATCAGAAACGAAAATTTACAAATGTTCATTGAGGTATGATGAAGATGGCCGTTAAAAGAGCTAAAAATGAAGCCACGCTCATCAGATCCCGTAAAGCTCGATCAAGTCGTTAGCGGACTCCTCCCTAGTAACGTAAAAGATTCTGTCGAGTCACTCATTGGCTGATATTGCCTGCTAACCTGTTTACGCTGGCACAGCATTTGTCAAAACACATTGATTTTTTATATGCATACCACTTGTTGTCCATGTTGTTATTTTTCGGACCAATTTCTCCCGTAGATTTAATAAAATGTTCTTTATTTTATGTCAAGGACTGTATCAGTAATAGAATCAAAACTAACGGCTGCTTAAGTTATACAATAGGCAGTATCACCTTGCCAATCGTAATGGTTCTGACCGCCTGATGTCTATATCAGTGCTGAGATCGACATCAGATCCTAATAGTGCTGAGATTTTACATAATGACCTGCTTACCACAGCTATCGCCGCAGCTATCACTCCATCAGGCATGCCATACCAAACAAAAACGACTCTCGGACAGTGGCTTCCCATCAAACATCAAACAAAAGTGATTGCTGCATCATGACCCAAAGTCAGAGCTATGGAGGGCGGTATTTTGTTAGGGTGCTATTGACATAGACTAGAAGTACACATACACTAAATGTTATAGTGCAATGGCTACGTCAACAAAACTGGACAATTATTATCTATTAATACCTCTCCAGGTTTCAGAGCATATGTAGCGTATGGCTTACGAGACCCTTTGGTCAATAGATGGGATTTGGAGTGGTATACTCATACAGTATGTACAGTTAGGACTATTTGGAGTGTTATACTCATGCAGTATGTACAGTAAGGACTATTTGCAGTGGAATACTCATACAGTTTGTACAGTTAGGACTTTTTGGAGTGGTACTCTTACAGTATGTACAGTAAGGACTATTTGGAGTGGAATACTCATACAGTATGGACAGTTAGGAATATTTGGAGTGGTATACTCATCCGGTATGTACAGTTAGGGCTATTTGGAGTGGTACTTATACATTATGTACAGTTAGGAATATTTGGAGTGGTATACTCATGCAGTATGTACAGTAAGGACTATTTGGAGTGGTACTCATACAGTATCTACAGTTAGGACTATTTGGAGTGGTACTCATACAGTATGTACAGTTAGGACTATTTGGAGTGGTATACTCATGCAGTATTTACAGTTAGGACTATTTGGAGTGGTACTCATACATTATGTACAGTTAGGACTATTTGGAGTGGTATACTCATGCAGTATGTACAGTTAGGACTATTTGGAGTGGAACTCATACATTATGTACAGTTAGGACTATTTGGAGTGGAACTCATACATTATGTACAGTTAGGACTATTTGGAGTGGTTCTTATACATTATGTACAGTTAGGACTATTTGGAGTGGTACTCATACAGTATCTACAGTTAGGACTATTTGGAGTGGTACTCATACATTATGTACAGTTAGGACTATTTGGAGTGGTACTCATGCAGTATCTACAGTTAGGACCATTATTGGACCGATTTGGGTCAGCACCTGGTTTGAGCCCTTACTATTGACCT